ACCTCTGCCACCTCTCAACTACTCAACTTAACTTCCTCTTTTAACCTAACACAATGGTCACAATCCACCACCCACTGCAATGGCAACACCCTTGACCTTGTATTTACCCACCTATGCACTCCCTGTAACCTCTTTAACACCCCTTTTCCTCTCTCTGATCACAACTTTATCAGCTTCACACTCTCCTGCCTCCTACCTCCCATGCCGTCAACCAGCAAACCATTACCTGTAGAAACCTCCATCACCTCAGCCCTGACCTTCTCTACTCCGCTACTGTGCGCCTCTATGATGAAATTGCACACCTGTCCTGCCCAGAGCTGGCCACATCTGCCTACAACAACTATCATCCTCCCTGGACGCTCTTGCTTCTCTTTCTGCCTCGCCTGTCACAACCCTGGCAAACAGAAGACACCAGAAGTCTCAAGAGACGCAGCCGCACTCTTGAGCGAGCATGGCGTCAAAATAAATCCCTGAAAAACTTTACCCTCTACAAATCCCTGCTCCCATTTGCCTCCAACCATCAGGAGCACCTTGTTCACAACCGTATGAACTGCTACCTCACAGACGACAACCTTCTTGATCCCAGACAGTCTGGCTTCCGTCCACATCATTCCACAGAAACTGCCCTACTAAAACTCACCAATGACCTACTAACTGCTAAAACCAACGGCCATCACTCCATACTTACATACTCCTTGACCTTTCCTCTGCCTTTGACAGTCGACCACCCCGCTCCTCCTCAGTAAACTCCACTGCATCGGCCTCCGTGACTCTGCTCTCTCCTGGTTCTCCTCTTACCTTTCTCAGCGCACTTTCAGTGTCACAACTCCTCCTCCTCCGCTTCCTCTTTCTGTTGGGGTACCCCAAGGTTCTGATCTTGGGCCCCTCCTTTTCTCTCTCTATACCTCCTCTCTGGGCCAACTGATAACCTGCCATGGCTTCCAATACCACCTCCATGCTGATGACACCCAGATCTATCTCTCCACTCCCCAGCTCACCCCCTCAATCTCCTCACGTATCACAAATCTACTAAGCAACATATCAGCATGGATGTCACATCACTAACTTAAACTCAATCTTTCAAAAACTGAGCTTGTAATATTTCTTCCTCCCCGATCCCCCACTCACGACTTTACCATCAAGATCAACTACCATTGGTCCTTCCCCTCATGCCAGGGTGCTAGGTGTAATCCTAGACTCTGACCTCTCCTTTGGGCCCCACATCCACTCACTGGCGTTTTCAGCATAAATTCTTTTCGCATCTTTGCACCATTGTTTCCCGACACTCTAAGGGTCTTCTTCTTGTTTTGGGGGACTCAAATGTTACTTTGGATTTCACATTGGATAGGCGCTACGCACGGGGGGCAACCCCCTCTCATGACTTGGTGCTGGAGGAACATATGCGCTCTCTCTTGCGGACGGTGGGGCTAGCTGACGTCTGGAGGGAACTTCACCCAACTGAACGCGACTTTACATTCTATTCCAATCCTCATGACAGTTTTTGTAGAATTGACCATATATTCATGCAGGTTCAGCAGCTTCCCTTGGTCCAGCGGATAACTATTCCCTCCTCACCCTGGTCGGACCATGATCCCTTTGTACTCCTCCTTACCCTCTCTGGGTCAGAACGGCGCCCTTTTCATTGGCGCATCAATGACTCTTTATTGACCACTCAGACTACCTGCCAACAAATAGAATTTTTTTTACGAACATACTTCACAGAAAACTCGGGATCGGTCTCTTGGGCAGTGCCCATATGGGAGGCGCATAAGGCCACTGTGCGGGGTCATGTTATACAGCTGGCGGAGGTCCGGAAGCAGGAGCACCGACTTTTGGAGCTTCATTCTCTCCTGGCCTCTGTGGATGCGCGTTGGAAGTCATCTCCATCCGCGGCCCATAAACGCGCTCGGGACGCTCTGGCGACAGAGTTGGACCTACTTGCCTCTTCGGAGGCGGAAAGGGCCCTGCGTTGGACCAAACACAAATTTTATTCCTGTGCTAATAAGCCAGGTCCAATGCTAGCGAGGAAACTCAATTCTGTGGGGAAACCCCATAAACGATCCGACTGCGGCTTCCCACAGGTGGCTGTACTTCTAATCCCCAGCAGATTGTTTCCCGATTCTCGGACTTCCTTTCGCGCCTCTACACTAACCCAGATCCCTTCCCTGTGGCCCAGGCATTCTTTCAAGAGATATCCATCTTCCTGGATTATCCGAGGCAGCACAGGTGGCTCTCAACGCCGGTGTCACTGTACCGGAAGTGCTTCAAGCTATCAAATCTTTACGTTCCACCGCGCCCCCCCGTCCCGACGGCTTCTCCGGTCTCTATTATAAGAAATTCTCGGCCCTGTTGGCGTCCTTTTTGGCTATTTCAATGAGTTACGACAGGGCTCCCTGCCCTCTCCAGACGCACTTAGAGAGCATATCTCCATGATTCCTAAGACGACTGATGATGTACAGGAACCGCAAGCCTTCCGGCCCATTTCTCTTCTTAATGAAGACCTGAAGATATTGTGCAAGATCCTTAGTTTTCGCATCAATAAATATTTGCGTAGCCTGGTCCACAGGGACCAAGTAGGGTTCGTCCCTGGGAGGCAGGCGGGTGATAACATTGGTAAGGTGGTCCATCTTATACATTTTCTGCAACAGCGGAAAATCCCAGGATTCTTACTGTCCTTAGACATATATAAAGCCTTTCTCTATCCTGGGAACATCTGCGGTTTGTGCTGTCTCATTGGGGTTTTGGGGATTCTATTCTTTCTTGGATTAAAGCCTTGTATTCTTCTCCTTCGGCCTCCGTTAAATACGCTGGGTATTTTCGGATCCCTTTCCTATTGGGCGAGGGACGAGACAGGGCTGCCCACTGTCCCCGGCGCTCTTTGTCCTGGCGCTTGAGCCGCTGGCTTTAACGCTCCAGACCGATTGCAACGTATTGGGGGTTCCATACGCGGGACAGGAGTTTAAGCTGAACCTCTTTGCGGACGATGCTCTCTTGACCCTTACTAATCCTCTGACGACGCTTCCTAATTTGCAACGGGTTCTTGAGCGCTTCTCCTTGATTTCGGGTCTCCGTATTAACTTGGATAAGACTGTCGCTCTCAATATTACTTTGGCTTCAGATTTGGTTTTGCGCCTACAATCCCACTTCCCTTACAGGGGGGCTTCCTCTTCTCTTGAATACTTGGGCATTCACTTGACCCCCACCTATGACTCCCTCTTTGCTGCAAATTATTATCCATTGCTTAGCTCTCTATCTTCTCTTATGCATTCCTGGCAATTTCCGCACCTGTCTTGGATAGGATGGGTTCATTCAGTGAAAATGACCATCCTGCCGAAATTGTTATATTATTTTTGCACCCTCCCAGTGCGGGTTCCCCCTCATTTTCTTCGGCTGCTTCAGGCGAAGTTTATGCGTTTTTCTGGGCCAATAAGCACCCCAGAGTCTCTAGAAATACGCTCTTTGCTCATAGAATCCAGGGGGGTCTTGGGGTGCCTGATGTAACTAAGTATTATCGGGCAAGCCAGATTGCCCCACTGTCTATGTTGCACGCTTCCTCCAACGTTCCTCCTGGGTCCTGCTGGAACTACCTAATTGTGCCCCTATCGCACCATCGACGCTTCTATGGCTTCCCCCTGCCCTGCGCCCTATGGCGTTGAATCCAATGTTGCTCCATGGCTTACAAGTCTGGGACTCGGTACGTTACTCCAGTGGCCTGATGTCGCCCTTCCTGCCTTTGCTCCCAATTATTAACAACCCTCTTTTCCCACCGGGTTTAGATCACCTGAGGGCGTTTTCTTGGTGGGTGGCTAATGGTTTCTCGCAGGTGCGATACTTTTTGATTTTTCGGTCCTTCCCGGAGTCCCGGGATGTTCCCACAGTGGAATTTTTTCGATACCTTCAATTGCGGCACTGACTGCTCTTGCTGCGGGGCACTTCTGCTTTCCCATACCAGAAATCTGCCTTTGAACAGCTTTGCCAGTAGCGTCCGGGTGCCCCGGGCCTTATCTCGCTTCTTTATGCAGCTCTGAACAGACGCTCGTCGCATACTTCTCTTTCATATGTTGTTCAGTGGGAGCGCGAACTGGGAGTGGCTGTGGATCCGGAGGACTGGAATAAGGCCTGGTCACTCATAGCTAAATGCTCATTCAAAACGACCACGCTGGAAGCAGCCTATAAGGTATTGTTTCGTTGGTATTGGGTTCCGGCTCGTTTGGCCCAGGCTAACCCTGCCTGTAGTGATCGATGTTTTCGGGGTTGTGGCCATCGTGGCGATGTATTGCTTATCTGGTGGTCATGCCCGAGGCTGGTTCGTTTTTGGTCTCGTGTGTTTGGCCTCCTTTTCAATTTGTTCCATCTCTCCATACGACGGGATGCTCGGTATGCTTTGCTTCATTGCCCCATACCGGGCCTCTTAGCTCGTCAGCAGAAGTTGGTTTCCTATTTGTTTTTATCGGCCACTAGAACAATTGCTCAGGCCTGGAAGAGTCCGTTTGTCCTTTTTCAGGGGGTGCGGGATGGCCACTATGATGCTCAACGAACAGATGGCGAGTATCTGCAACGACTCACAACGTAAATTTTTGAAAATATGGGAGCCATGACTACAATATGCCTTTCCCACGCTCCCCCCAGCTAGTATGGGGAGGTAATGGCGTTTGGCATTGGCGTTCGTTATCGGCGCTCTTGGACCCCTGCTCTTTGTTTTGTTTTTTTTTTTCTCTTTTCTTCTCTCTTTTTCTGTTTGTTTTTGGTGTGACAGTGGACAGCTGTCTTTAGTTGTGATGGTCAGAGTTACGTTAATGTTATTGTAACTTATGTGCCATTGCTAGCCCCTGCGTGGGCATACCTTTTGCCTTGTTGGAATTAGAGCACTGTTTTCTCTATTATGCTTTTTTTTTTTATTGGTGCAATTGATAGCCCCTGCGTGGGCGTGTTTTGCTGCCTCTGTTTTATACTGTTTTAAAATTCAAATAATAAAAACCATTGAAATATAAAATGCTTACCCTGACTCGAACAATGTTCTCGTGCTGGGCTTTTAATATAGTGTTGATTTCACGGAGTGATGTTATCGGGAACCCCTCTTTCTCTTTTTCCATTTTCAATCTCTTGAGAGCCACAATTTCATCTACAAAACGGAGGCATAACATTTATCACTACTGTCATTTACAACATCAGTCCACAGATAGGGGGTACATCTCACTGAGAATGAAAGATGTTAAGAAATCTACTTATCCTTGACCACAACACTTAACTGTCAGAACCTGCCACAATTGATGGATCAAAGTGGCACACACGTGAAAAACTTCCACTTTTTCAAAAGAAAAAAGAGCAACCGGTACAAAGGCTTTTAGATTTTTAGAGTGCAGTAATGAATTCAATCGACATTACAATATGGACCTACACATAATCAAATGCTCGTAAAAGACACTCTGAACAAATGATTATTTTGAAAACATAAGGCTGTGAGCACAGTTTCTCTAATGCTTAAAGGATTAATTCACCTAAAGAGTGCACTCCTGGGATCAGGCAAGCAAAGACACTTTGTAATAGTGCCTTAGACAAAAACAAGCACTTAAAGTCGTTGCAAAGACTTCAAAGGAGAAGTATGGCCAAAGATACTTCTCCTGACATGACCATCAATACAGGCCCTATGGGAGCCAGGTGTGCTGTGTCGACAGAGAAGTCGACCAATCTCAAAAGTAAGTATTTGGCAATATGGAACAAGCAGGTACATACAAAAAAGCCACATTAACCACTTGCCGCCAAATGACATACGGGTACGTCGGGGCTGTTTAAGTGGTTATATCAGGGTCATGGTTCTGCCAGCTGATCATAGAGCTGATCAGGGATTGGAATGTCCGCAATCATCTCTACGGTCTGAGACCAGAAACATCAAGTGTTTTGTCACTTGCGGTTTGGGCAGAACGTAAACAATCTATTTTTGAATTGGGAAAGCATCTGTTTAAACTGATCTTGGTTTGATCAGATGCTTTTAAGGGCAGATGAGAGATCTAGGGTGTAATAGAGTACATATGTCTCAGTAAGGCTTCTTGCATACTGCAGCTTGAAAAAGCTCAGTACAGCGGGGGGGTTTTTTTTTTCACTGATCTAAAATGCAGCCCATTGTTTACAACGTGCCTGTACACACAGCTGCATAAACATGTGCTGCATATGTGCATAAACAGAGCATAAATATGTCAAGTGCTTGTGCACTCAAATATGCATAAATATAGTTTGTGTGCACAAATACGGCAAAACAAATGCCTGAAATTGCCTCCAGAAATGCTGATGCTCAAACATTAGTACCATGTGCAAGAGGCCTAATGAGGACATGTCATGCTTTACTGCTATCACAGGGAATATTTACAAAAAATGTAAGAGGTAATGCAAAAGTAAAAAACTTTAAAAAAGCTTCTCCGTCCCACAGTGCTCACAAGCAAATGTGAACACACACGTTGGTATGTAAATGGTGTTCACACCAGATATCTTCGCAATCACGAAGATATCTTTGCAAACGTCAGATCGAGAGCAATAATCCTAGATTATGAATATCCCTCATTTCAAATGGCCTGCTCGGGCCACATATGATTGCTGCCGTCGAGGCCTCCAAGTCTGAAATGCTTTCTCCTCTCCCTTTACTTCTTCCTGTTTCGACTTTCCTTTCTTTCCAGTCTCCTTTTGGTTCTATTACTGTTACATGTGAAGGGGCATAAACCCTTGGAGCTGACCCTTCTCCGGGTGGCCTTGACCGAGGAAACCATTCTGGGTCCCGGAGGATGTGATCTACTGCTCGAGGGGTTAACTTGGGACTCCTATTGACATCTGTCGCTACGGCAATTGTCTTTACTCTTTTTTTTTTGTTATTCCTTATGTTATACCTCAGCATTGTTTAACCCCGGCGTGGGTGAACTATGTGCCTACCCTTGTTCGTCTTGCATGATAATAAAAAAAAACATTGAAATGGAAAAATAACTTTCAATTAAATTTTGACATGAATCAAAAGTGTACTTGCTGAACACAAACTAAAGCTTTTCCTTAAGTAGCCAGCAGATGAATCACACCACCAGTGTCCTTTCAATAATAAAATATTGTATCAGTTTTAGGTGAATACTAAGTAATTCCTCCATCTGACTATCATAGACACAACACAATGGCTGCAATGTGCAAAAGGGAAAATTTAAACAATATAATATGTGGATATTACAGCATTCACACACCGGTTTTCTTGTCCTTTGCCCTGTACACAACACCATAAGTCCCCTCTTCAATACGATTTAAGCACTGGAATTCCTCTACACTGCGGCAGCCCTACAAATGAAATGAAAGCAGAGGCATTTAACATCACCACACAACAGCAGCATCAGCAACACGGTTTCATTTCATTCAGAGCCATTGTGCCAAGTACCTGTAATGCTGGAAGATATTTAGGCAGCTCTTGCTTCAGCTCCACAGGTGACATAACAGGAGAATCAGGGACATAGTCACCATCTGTGTGGGCATTGGAATGAGGACTTGCATCCTTGACATCATCTTCCTCCTCATCCTCTTCACTCCCAGCAGAGTCATGGTCAAACCTAGACTCTGGTACTGCAGTAGATGGAAAAAAAAAAACAATTTATGTAGGACACTAGCAAGAAGCAATTGCAATTTAAAGAACAAAATCTTAAAACAGCTTTCTCTATTTGGATAGCATTGAACCAGGTTTGACCACTCACTGGGACTTCAATACTCTTCAAGAGATAGCTTCCACCTCATCCTTGGAATGGTTGTGGCACAAAGTAAACACTTGTCCACATTTTTATTATGACTAGCAAGGCATTAATATGTACTATGGAAAGCCCACAGGAGGGTTCTTAACACTTTTTGTACTGTATACACCATAAGGAATACCCCACAGGAATATAAGAATAATTCAGGCTGGTTATCTGGACAGCATTGTAAGTTAGGCATAGGCTTGGCCGGTTTCTTTTAATCTAAGAAAATAGCATTTTTGCACTCAACTTATCCTTTCCTTGGGGTCCCTTTTCAGTCACTGGCTCTCTGCTCCTACAGCGCTCACTGGAATAACAGGCTGTGGAGAGGATGGAAGCAGCTTGCTCAGGTTCTTAAAAAGGCTGAGAAAGGTGCCAGTCCAGGCCAATCCAAAGCCTGAATTGATTGAGTGATGTCAGCAGACAGCTGGCTAAAAAATGGTTTACAGGAGTGCACAATAAACTGCACTCCTGTGATCCATAGGAGAAGTAGAACCAAAAAAAGCTTTGGCCATACTTAACATGTATGTGAAAAATTAAAAAATTTCCCCCGAGGCAAGTGGTTAAGCCAAGCACATTTTCTACTGGAATAGTAAATGCCTTCTTAAGTTAAGACATGGGTGGAGCTACAGTGGGAATGGATAAGCACTTGGGGCCGGAGATAACTTATCAGGATGCTTCCAGTCTTCACAGAGAAATAGATGGAAAAGTGGGTATAAAGGGAAATTCTTTGCGGTCTTAAGAAATTTAAATGACCCAAGGCTGGAAACGTGCAAACAACCAGTCACTTATTGCAAGACATATTTTCTTACCAAGAGGTACATGATTTCCATTCTCCCTTTCATCATCATCAGTCATCTCCTCTTCACTGACCTCTTCTGCAAAGAAATACATCAAAGTACATGGTTCAGACTTTATTTTATTAAAAAGCTACTTGCTGTGCTGCTATGCTCTACACTTTGAGTTGCTAACCTGGAATATGTACACAGCCAGTGAACTCCTGATCTGCATGTTTGTCCTGGTCAGTGAATTGAAGTATTGAAACCAAATGATCAGCATAACAGCCCCTCATTTAGCATTTTCAGATGCAGCTCGACATATGCAAGCTTCCATATTTCTCTCAGCACAGGCTTCCTTTAAAGTTTGGTGTCTCAATAAACAGGCACAATCTCACCACAGGTCCCCAAAAGGCAAAAGGTAGCCTAACACAGTGTTAAACCTTTTTTCAGTTGTGGCACCCTTTTAAAGTAAGCAAAATATCCAGGTACCGCAGTCCAAAATGTAGAAAACAAAAACCGTAAAAAAAACCGTAAATGTTACTTATCAATGGGAAACCTGAGCCTGGGATAATGCACACAACGGAGTCCCCCCACCACAGATTCCCTCCAGTCATACAGACCACCTCATCACATAGTCCCCTTTTCACACCAGGGTCCTACGTTTGGCTCCAGAAGAGTGGAAAAGGGCAGGAGGTGGAGGAGGTCTGAAGGAGGCATGCATTGCCATAGTATAGGTGAGCCAGCCACCATCACCAGCAACAAACGATGTTGTATGTTTTGGCCCTAGAGCATCACTAGCTGTTGAGGTGTTGATGGCCGGCCAGCCCACACACACCATGGTAACTGATAGTGCTGATCAAGGCTACACTGGGCCCTGTGCTCATGACACCCTGGGAGAACCCAAAGGGCACTCAGTTGAGAATCACTGACCTAGCAAAATACAGTCTACTTCTTCATACTCAACCATCAGAATATCACATTTTAATGTGGTCGTAAACCCTAATGATGGTTTGCACTCATAAGTAGGTAATTTCATCTTAAAAAAGAATTTGTTTAAAAAAAATGCTGCAAATACCTTTATTTCCTGCTTTTCTTATGACAATGTGTTCTTCTTGGTTCTGTTTGCTAATTGGCGAGTGGTGGTGGCTTAGCTGATGGTGGTGGGCAGGACCCAGCAACGCATCACTAGGGAGTGCATAGTGTAAACACCATCCACCCTACCATCAAGTGCTGTCAATCAAGGCTAATATCTGTCCCATCAGCCAGTGCTGCTGGTGCAATAAACAGCTGGGAGACAGGAGCAGAGTAAGCTGTAGACACTGCTTATTTTTTTTTTATTATTTATTTTACTTTGTCTGGAGCATGCACACAAGCAGTGGCAATGCTACAGAAGGTGTTGAGACTGCAGGTTGCTGCCACTGCTAATAAAAAGGAGATGTAACTGACAGGATTAACCAGTATTTCCAACAGAATTCAATGTATATATATATACTGTATATATTTTTACAAAATAGGCACATAATGTTGTACCATCATGGTCACAAATATTGGCACCTCTGCATTTCTGTCAGATAATATACCACTGCGTCCAAAAAAAGTTGCAATTACACGTTTAGGCATTCGCATGTGTATTGCTTTTGTTTGTATTGGTATGACACAAAAAAGTCAAGAAACAAAAAGCCAAATCTACAAAGGTCAGGCGTAAATGGTGAGCGCTAAGGAGTTGGAGCTGCTTGCACTAAGAGGGAAGTGACAACCCCAAAATAAATATGTATCAAAATAGTGCAACACATAAAACATATCAAAATTAAACACGTAAATATGTGATGACCAACGTCTATAAATATATAAAATATAGTAGATCAATACATAAAAGGTGCTTATTTAAAGTACCCAGTGTAGTGATGCCACACAATCCTTCTAATAACATTACATCGGTGTTAATACATAAACCATGCTCTTAAAAGTGCCAAGTGCAAAAATATAACAAAATCTTTCAAAAGTGACAGTCTTATAAATTCTCTCCCGTGCAACAATTCCAAACTGTGTGTGATCCCGAAACTACTCTCCTGTGCAGGGTCCTCCACCACCATGCACTCACCAGAAGGCTACTTGCTTAGTAGCCTATAACTCCACCAACAGGGAAGCCTGATTCTCGCTCCTTAAAAATCACTGCTGCGGTGCCTCAGCATCTGTCAGAGCATCCTACATCTGCCTGCTTGCTGCCTGCATTTCTGCACCTGCTGCTATGTCTTCACATCGGCCAGCTTATCAGTCCTCCTGCTGTTCAGCACTTGTTCAGCACCTGCTGCAAGGTTCTTCCGGCCAGGATCTCCTACAAGGGACCCATGCCACTCCGTGCCCTGGTATATCCTGTCACCACTATGCCTTGGAAGAATTGTAGGATCATTTTAACTTCTTCCTCTTTCAAATCTGACACATTCCACGCAAAACCCCAAAAATGGACTGGACAAAATTATTGGCACCTTCTCAAAATAGTAAGAAATAATTGCATTCTAAATTTGTGATGCTCCTGTAATTTGTATATAAACTCACCTGTATCAATTAACAAGTGCTGAGAATATAGAAATCGTACTGGCAACAGGTAAAATGCTGAACAATTTACTCAACCTTTCTGTTGTGTGTTTGTGTGCCACATGGAACATGGAGAAGAGAAAGAGCAGCAAAAGAATTGTCTGAGGATTTAAGAACAAAAGTTGTGGAAAAGTATGGATAATCTCAAGGTTACAAGTCCATCTCCAGAGATCTTAATCTTCCTGTGCCCACTGTGCGCAACATTGTCCAGAAGTTTACAGCCCATGGCACTGTAGCTAATCTCCCTGGACGCAGACAAAGGATTGCAATGAAGGATTGTTTGAATAGTTAATAAAGAACCTTGATCAACTTCCAGACAAATTCAAGCTGACCTTCAGGCACAGGGTACAACTGTGTCAGCTCGCACTATACGATGCCATCTGAATGAAAAGGGACGCTGTGGTGGGATACCCAGGAGGACCCCACTGCTGACACAGAAACATAAAAAAAGCCAGATTGGAGTTTGCCAAAACTTACCTGAGGAAGCCAAAATCCTTTTGGGAGAATGTGCTGTGGACAGACGAAACAAAATTACAGCTTTTTGGTAAAAACAAAAGAAACGTGTAAAAAATACACAGAGCATCCAGCGCTCCTCTGTACTGTGTAACAACAATTAGTCCATGGATAGACACATAAATAGTTTGTCATATAGCAGCAATTACTGCAATAGTAGCTGAATGGTATAGGAGTGGAAGTGGGAAGGATGATGGAAGAGTGAAGGGTGGAAGAGTGAAGGGTGGAAGAGTGAAGGGGAAGAGTGAAGGGTGGAAGAGTGAAGGGTGGAAGAGTGAAGGGTGGAAGAGTGAAGGGTGGAAGAGTGAAGGGTGGAAGAGTGAAGGGTGGAAGAGTGAAGGGTGGAAGAGTGAAGGGTGGAGTGGAAGAGTGAATGGTGGATGAATGAAATGTGGTTCACCTCTGCAGCTCCCGTGAGATCTGGGCAGGATCACCTCATAAAAGGAGGAAATAGCAAAAAGCAGGGCGTTGAGGTTAATACCAAGCAAAAAAACACCTTTATTTAAAGCAGCACACTTACATGTCAGAATTCACCAATCCACCACATTAATCCACCAGTGGATAATTACACAGCAGGTTGAAACACCAGATCCGATCTGCTGCTGACGGTACACAAAGGCAATAAATGGCCGCCAAATATGCAGCAACAGGGGGTACAATGGGCCAGCAGATAGTGTGGATAAAAAGAGAGCTGGTGGCATCTCCAGCTGCACTGTCAGGATGTCCTTACATGTCGTCAGGCGGGGCAAGCACAACATGTTTCAAGCATCTCAGCCCTCTTTATCAAATGTCATTTGCATTGATGCATGCATTTGAAAAAGAGGGCCGAGACCCTTGAAACGCATTATGCTTGCCCCGCTTGATATCACCTAAAAATTCTGACATCCTCAAAGTGTGGCTGGAGACACCACCAGCTCTTCTTATCCAAACTATCTGCTGGCCCATTAAAGCCCCTGCTGCTGCATCTTTGGCGGCCATTTATTGCCTCTGTGTACTGTCAGCAGATCGGAACTGGTGTTTCAACCTGCTGTGTCATTATCCACAGGTGGATTGGTGATTTCTGACGTGTAAGTGTGCTGCTTTTAATAAAGGTGTTTTTCGCTTGGTAATAACTTCAGTACCCTGCTTTTTGCTATTTCCAACTTTTTAGTAAAGTCCATCATTTTACTGTTTTCATAAAAAGAAATGAGGCCTTTAAAGAAAAGAATACAGTCCCTACAGTCAAACATGGTGGAGTTTCACTGATGTTTTGGGGTTGCTTTGCTGCTTCAGGCACTGGATGTCTTGACTGTGTGCATGGCATTATGAAATCTGAAGACTACATAGAATTCTGGGGTGCAATGTAGGGCCCAGTGTCAGAAAGTTGGGTCTCCACCAGAGGTCATGGGTCTTACAGCAGGGCAATGACCCAAAGCACATGTCAAAAAGCATCCAGAAATGGTGTAATCAAAGTGCTGGAGAGTACTGAACTGGCCAGCAATGATCCCAAATCTAAATCCCATAGAGCACCTGTGGAGAGATCTCAAAACTGCAGTTGGGAAAAGGAACTCTTCCAATCTGAGAAACTTAGAGCAGTTGGCGAAAGAAGAGAGCTCCAAAATTCCAGTAGAGAGGTGTAAGAAATTTACTGATGGTTACAGGAAGCGACTGATTCAGTTATTTTTTCCAAGGGGTGTGCTACCAAATATTAAATTTAGGGTGCCAATAATTTTATCCAGTCCATTTTTGGGGTTTTGCGTGGAATGTGTCAGATTTGGCTTTTTGTTTCTCCACTTTTTTGTGTCATACCAATACAAACAAAAGAAATAAACGTGAGAATGCCTAAACATTTGTAATTGCAATAATTTTCTGGGCGAAGTGGTGCATTATCTGACAGAAATGCAGGGATGCCAATATTTGTGGCCATGACTGTACAAGTGCTATTTACTTTTTTTTCCACTATACTATCACCTATTCTGCCATCTTTTCCAAATACACTTATGTATACTTATCTGGGACAGTGTGTTCATATTCTAAACTAGCCAGACTTGTACTCCCACCTGGGAGACAGGAAACCAAAAGATACATTTTTTTCTACTCATGTTGCCTTCTCCGATGTCATATAGTTCATATAGTTTGTTTTTGTAATTCACTGTGCACACAGCTGCTGATAATGCAATCTGCCTGCTATTCTGGTTTATATGCACAGGGGTTAGACAAAAAAAATAGTAACACTACATGATTTGCAGGTGTGAAAGTGACATGTTTCACATTGAAAACAGAAGTGATGTAACATTCTTTTGCTTTCGCTGTGTAATGAGACACCTAGCTAACAGGTGGGAAGCCACACTTTTGTCATTCACTGCGTGCACTGCTTGAAATACGGAGTCATGTCAGAGCTTACAAGAGGGCAAATTGTTGGTGCCGCTTAGCAGATAAATTGGCAACTTCAGTCACAAAGGGACCAGCTGTGTTGCGAGGTACAGTATCAAAGGTTATGACAGAATATACAGTTTCTGGGAAAACATCGTCTGATAAGCATTAGTGTGGTCGACATATTTCAAAAGTGACGGTAGAGCTCAATCTTAGTCCTGTGAAGACTGGGATTGATCTCTGCCAGTCACTTTTGAAACAGTTGTTTTCTTACTCCTGGTCACAATCCTGCACAATATCCTTTTGGATCTTTCGGTCAGTTGACCATGTTGCTTATCAGATGATGTTTTCCTGGATACTGTATATGTCGTCATAACCTTTGATACTTTCCCTCGTGACATTGGCAAATTCAGTCAAAGAGACACCAGCAAATCGGGCACCAACAGCCTGCCCTCTTTGAAGCTCAACAAGCTCTGATATGACTCTGCATTACTAGCAGCGCACGCAATGAATGGCAAAAGTGAGGCTTCCCACCTGTTAACTAGGTGTCTCATCACACAAAAGCAAAAAAAAAGTGTTATATCACTTCAGCTTTCAAAGCAAAACATGTCATAACTTTTACACCTGCAAATCATGTAGTGATTACAATTTTTTGTCTAACCCCCTGTGTTTACACAGAAGACCTGAAACAGGTATGCAGCATGGCAGCCAGGCAAGAAGTATTTAGGTAAATTAGTAAATGCTGTGATGGATTTGGTAAAATGTCTATTTCGTTTCCTATTGAATATATATATATATATATATATATATATATATATATATATATATATATATATATATATACACACACACACACTTTTTTATACACATCTTTTTACATATTTACTTTTATACTTTAATACTATTTCTTTCCACATATTTATAAATGTTTAGCATGCATATATATGTTGTGTGAATATTTTCTGCCTGCTGGGCTTTGTGGTACTTTAAGAAATCCTTGCTTAAGAAATATTTGCTCACAGGAACAGACCCCCTCCCATCGTGTGATTTGGAAGACAAAAGAATGTTTTTCTCTTTTTAAGATAAGACTGAAGAAGATCACACCTATACCATGACGGAGATTGTTTTCGTGTAAAGTGACCAATCAAAGACTAATATAATGCTTATGCTGTTATCACGTGATGTTCATCATTTTTCATATATAAAGTCACGGTTTCATTTCAATAAATTAGAGAGACGTTTTCACAGACCAACGTGTCAGTGTGAGTTTCTTCATGTGCGCACATTCCAAAAGCTGGCCAGCATCATAAATTAGGACAGGAACAGATAAGCACTGGACAATTAGGTCCACTACTAAATCAACTGGTGCCGAGAAACACGGGAATTCTGGGTAATGAACCTGCAGCTAGCCGACCTCAAAAGGCATTAAGTGTCAGTCAAACTGGACAGGACGGAGATTGATCGCCTCTGCAGCATGGTAAGATATATTTTGCTATCTTACCATTGCTTATCCTGTCTTTGTTGTTGATTCATACCTGTGCCTAGTACGGCTGCTAAAGGTCACTAAAGGCAGGTAACCTTGCTTGCCCAGAGTTTATTTAAATATACCTGCATGCGCTTATCTGTTGCCTGGGTCTCTGTTGTGTGTTTTTATGTATCAGTCTTGAGGTGGAAGAGGAGTGGACCTACTGAGGGTTTTGACACATAATTTCTCTGGGTGTGTGGTAACCTTGTGTGTTGACCACAACAGAGGAGGTCGGATATGCCTCACGGTAGTGTGACAGCAGGTGCCGTAACTGTTTGTGTGGGTTACGATGATTTACTCAGTGATCTGTACTCATAGCCCACCAAGATAGACTGCTATGTTATGTCCTAAATGTGTGTCTGTGAGCTAATGTTTGCCATTCATAACAGAAGGTTGGGGTTTGTTAAGGGTTAAGGAAAGTCTGGACAGCAGCCTGTGAAGTGTCTTAGATTTGTTAGGAAGGACCAGAGACAGGAGGAGATGGGTCAGACGCTGATAAGACCCCTAGAAAGGAATGTTAGCACGTGACCTGGTTGTACAGAGAGAAGAGGAAAAGTATGTGGAATCAAAGATAAGGAGGTATGAGAAAAAAAAAAAAAAGAGAAGAAAAGATGTCTTAGTTGACAAACATGTGCTGAAGACAGTAAGAAGTTTGGTATAATGTAGCCAAAGTTATCCACAAAGAGTAGTGGACAGAACAGGTATTGCTACAGGGAAAACAAAAAAAAAAGCTGTTTATGTGTACCATTAATGTGTTAAATATTGAAAAGGATTACTGGCATGTCATATTGTGAAGAGATGTGAAGGAAGTGAAGCAGTTAAAAAGTTATCTAAAGTAGCGAAAGTTTGTAAGCTGAAGGTCAGGACTGGCGTAAATCATTGTAGGAACAGAGAGGAATGTTATGTGAAAAAAAGGTTTGCTGAACGTGACAGAAGTTTGGTACAAAACTGTAAAAGCGTTGCATAAAGGATGGTTGGAATGTGGGGCGGAGGAGGGGAGGGGAGGGACAGCCCTGCCCTTTTGTCTAACGCCTACTTTATTCCCATAACCCCAGCCCTGCCCAGTACACTTCCTGCTAGCAGCCATCTTGCTACACCTATGTTGTCATTTCCTGCCCTG